CTCCATGAAAATCCACTCCTTGTTTTCTTCTCATAGCATTATCTTGTCTTGTAACCATAGGGAGCTTAGATATCGGATGGACATTAAGATACACTAGACGTGTGGCCAAGGCAAGTGCAGGTCTCCACTTTATGCGCAGACAATTTAGCTCAGTCACCTCAGGGCTATTACTGAAACTGTGTAAAACGTACGTCCGGTCCCACTTTGAATTCCACAATGTCGTTGTACATCCTCTCTTCAAAAGAGATATAAACTTCTTAGACTAAGTACAGAGACGGACAATCAAGCAGGTAATAGGTCTGAAACATAAATCTTACTAAGACAGATTCCAATGCTCGAGATTACCGCTGTTGAGCTACAGAAGAATAGCAGGTGATCTGATACACACAACATACAACAGATTAAGCACGTTAAGTCATCCCAACGAAACATCATCATCACGCTCCTCGAGGTAACACTCGCACGATTGCATATCAAAGAGCGAACACTTAGTTACGCTCATACTTTTTCTCATCAAGAGTTGCCACCATTTGGGATGCTCTCCCGGCCAAGATGACTACAACCCTGTTAGAGGATAGCTTTAAGTGACTTGACAAACACTTGCTCACCCATGAACCACCACCTCCCTCCTGGACCAGCTGTGTCTGATGCATGTTTAATAAATTACTGTGGTTATCAATACCACATAACTAGCAACTAAATCCTATGTCTCTTACTGTCACTTCAGTTTCTCCTCTTTATCTTCCAATTCTGTCTTCCTACAATACCGAACAGCCCCCTGCCTTGTAATGTGATAACTACTGGTATTCAGAAACCCTAATAGCCTCAAACAAACTCAAAAACTCAAACTACAAGGTATATAACCTTGCCTAGTGCCGGGTTCAGGGTGATTAGGAATGTCCTGACTCCGGGTGGAGGCTCACCAGTGCAACTCGGTGGGTTGAAACCTTAAACAGGTGTGCCCGAGCGTGTAGATTTTTTCAGTAGGGAGGTCTCACAGTTCTCTCTTTAGGACGGATGAAACAACGAAGCTATTTGAAAAGGACAGAGATATCTTTCCTCGCTGAGTAAATCGTATTGCTTTGATCATTTGTTATGTATCGGGACTACTGTTTACACTTTTATTGAATTTATTTCGGTTGAATTATTCGCTAAGATTATCGTTTGTGTTTTTAAAACAGTTTGTCGTCTGTACTTTTTAGTACTTTGTTTCTGTTGTATTTTTTAGCACTCTTGGACTTAACAATTTACAGTTTTCAACATTTTCGATCATCAACTTATTTTGCGTCTGTGTATTGTTGTATTTAGTTTGATAACTGATCAGTGCAAGGAAAGCGATTTCCAACGCCCGGTCTGTCGATACCCTGTTGAAAACGGCATGCAATGAGACGATTGCGAAGGATGGTACCGCAAAGTTTACACGAATTTAACTCCTGCGGCTTTCAATCAGTTTAGCAAGAATTATCGCGCATGGTTTTGTCAGCAGTGCTGCGCGGACGCAAACAGCTTGCTAACTGAGTCCGTTTCAGTAGTGAATACTGTTGAAAAGTTCATTAGCAAACGAAATCGAGACACATCAGACAGTACTTGCTCTGTCAATACAAAAATTGATGTGAAGTCACTTCAAATAAGCTTATTAGCAGTCGACGTACATGGATCAAAGGAGAGAAAACCTAGTTCAAAGAGGTTTGTTCCAAATAAAAATTCAATCAATGGAGTTTCCTCTGTCCCTCGTCCTTTAAATGCTATCCGACAAGAAACACCCAAAAGCCAATCGCAGGGTTAGGTCAATTTCTACCGAGAACAATACCTGATCATCCAAGTCGTTGACAATATTTTGGAATCCCATGGTGTATATAACGCGACTGTGGTCGCTACAGGTCGGGAAAGAAAGGACATATCGCTATTAGACAAAATCCAACGCTCCAAAAAGTAGCCGAGAAATCAAAAACTGGTCATTGTGACCGGTCATTTATCTTCCATAGAATCAAGGAAAGTGAAGGCTCATAACCTAAAACTCTTTTTGAGAATGACGTTGAGTTGACAACACAGCCACTAAACCAGCTAATGCCTCAGGATATCTTGGGAATCACGATACAAAAGTTGTATAGACTGGGTAGCCAAATGAACTTGAAACAGAATCAAACCAGGCTGTTTAAAGTAGTATTTAAATTTCCTAATTAAGGAACTTAACACTACATAATGGACATAAACTAAAGGAGTCAGGAATTTTCGTTCGTAAGGATTTACCGCTCGCAGACAGTGTAAAAAACGAGAGTCAAAAAGAGCTACAGCTTAGGTTTGATGCTGACGTAAAGGACCTAAAAAGTGTAAATTTTCGGATTGTGAGGCCTCGACAGCGAATGATGCCTAAGCCACTCTGGTTGCAGCACAAAGCCGTTTAAGTAGGCTTCGGATCTGTTTCACAAATATCCGAAGCTTGCTCAATAAGCGGTCGGAACTAGGTGTACAGATTGACTCTACCAAGCCAGATGGAATCGCAGTCATAGAAACTTGGCTGATACAGCCTATAGACAGTATGAAACTTGATTTAAAGGTTTCACTTTAGTATGAGCTGAGAGAATCCAGAAGCGTTAAAGAAGAGTAGCCCTATTCATTAGGAATAATATCCCATTTACCATCATCAGCAGTGTAACCCATGAGAGTGGAACGCGTGAATTAGTTAGTTGCCGCTTGAAATGCTAGAGACAAGGCCTGCTGATTGGATTGGGGTGGTTGACGTCTAATCCTAGGAGACATAATTGCACCTACGGTGCACTGTAAAAAACTGGGAACTGAATCGCCGGACAATCACTTCGACCAGAAACTAGTTGACGTGATTATCACATGTGCCCTATTGAAACATGTGCAAGAAGCATCTAGGTACGGCCTGGACTCTGAACCATCCTAATCAGTTCTTATATTGACTAATTATGAGGATGAGGTCACGAACCTCGATTACGTGCCACCTCTAGGGAAAAGGGATCATGCAGTTCTAATCATTGGCTTCCATATGGTTGTCAAAGATCAGAACGCGTCAGCCCAACCCAGACCTAACTCCTGGAAATTAAATATAAGAGATATTATGCACTCAGTATTGTCAGTAGACTGGACAATAGGGCCAGAGTCTCCAATTAAAACAGCTTGGGACGTAGTTCGAAATTAGCACCTGAAAGTTACTGCACTCCACATCCCTTGGACTACACCAAGGGATCCGATAAACTCTCTACCATGGTTCAGTAGGAAGATTTGCACCCTTCTCCGTTGGAGGAGAAGAATGTGTGGAAGATTTAGGTTACTGGGTACTGGTGAAACAAAACCTCAATATTGAGAAGCTCGAGTTACTTGTATCTCGACTCTCCGCAAGTCTAGAAGGATGTACGAAGAAAAATTGTCAAAGAATCTATAGAATGCCCTAAAAGCTTGTTTTCGTATAGAAACTAATGGACTAAAAGTAGCGGAAATATTCCAGCGCCATGGGGGGCAGTAGTGCTTCATCATTACTGGAGGACGACTATGGTAAAACTCAGGTATTCTCAAACTACTTTAGCAATGTATATACCGTAGGGACACCCTCCCTGTCAGTTCATACATATCCCTCCACACACTGGATAGTGTGACCATTAAAGAACTCGATGTCTTTGGTCTGATAAGCAAGCTTGATATGAGCATATCCACAGGACCCGATGGAATACATCCTAGGTTACTAGAGGAACCCGCTAACTTCGTTGAGAACCTCTTAAGTATATATTTTAATCTATCCGTAATCCAGGGTCGATTACCAAAAGACTGGATAAATATCATAGTAAGTCTTTTCTTCAAAACAGATACGAAACATAAACCTGAGAACTGCAGACCCGTCAGTCTGACTAGCGTGGTTGTTAAAATTTTAGAAAAGATTATTCGAAGAAGCTGTTCACGTACGGCTTCTTTCTGAAAAGCAGGATAACTTTCGAATAGGTTATTCCTGCCTCACTAACTTATTAGTGACTCGTGAAAGCTCGTGAAAGATCAAATGTTACCTAAAGACGAAGCCAACTTTGACTTCAGTAAAGGTTTTGACAAACTTCTTTCCGACCGGTTGTTATGCAAGTTAACAAAGTTCGGGATTCGAGGCAGTCTGTTAGTGTGGATAAAAGACTTATTAGTTGGGTGCCAACGAAGATTACGGGTGAACTCAAAGTTGTCTAGCTGGGAAACTGTGCTTAGTGGGGTGCCTCAGGGTAGATGGACTCAAGGTCGGGGCTTAGAAATCAATTCCAGGAAGAGTGTGCTAATGCACATCGGTCACGGTAATAGTTACCATTGTACTATTGATGGTAAACCTCTTCCTTGCGTTCAAGAACATAAAGGCTTAGGAGTAAAAATTAGTCATGACTTAAAAACAACTACGCATTGCAACGCAGTCACTGTCAAAGCTTTTCGTGCGTTATGGTCACTTCACTGATCGTTCAAATCTTTTGACGAGGAAGTGTTTCGAATTTTATATCTTACATATGTAAGACCACATTTAGAGTACTGTATCCAAGCAGCTAGCCCATTTCTGGTAAAGGATACTAACTAGCCTGAGTGTGTCCAGCGTGTAAGAACGAAACTAGTGAAGGGTCTTTCTAAACTCCCTTACGATGAGCGTTTAAAACCCCTAAACCTTTTCCCCTTGTCGTATCGTAGGATGCGAGGTGACCTTATACTAGCATTTCGTATCTTCAGTTACTGTTTGAGTGTTAATATGTCTTATCTTTTTGCTCCCTCCAGCACTAGTAACCTCCGAGATTATAGAAAGAAGGTTCATAAACCGCGATCTAATAAACTTAAAATGGAGTCCCGTTTTCATCATCGAGTAGTCAATGACTGAGATGCCTTACCCGAACAAGTAGTATCAGCCCCACCGGTGAATATTTTCAAGCAGAAACTGGACCTTCACTGAAAGGCGATCTGTCAGGATTAAGATAGGTTCACCAACCTACTATCCTTATTACTGAAGACTTCAGTGGACGATGCCACTGAAGCGTTTCCAAACATGCCAGATACTGTAGCCTTATTTGATCTCAAGGTCGCGGGATGACCGCAATCAAACACGTGTTACTTTATTTTTTATTCTCTGTTCTCTCATTAGGACACTCAGGTGACTTAAAAACTGTCGCTCTACATGATATTTTAAACACTGATCTTTCCGAATATACAGAAGGGTCAAATGCTGCACTTTTATTCATAAGTAATACATCCTGTTAATTTGATAATATTCTTCATCCAGTTCCTGATAACTGTCATAACTGCCATATGCACAAGAAACTCCTTAATGAAATTTCTTACGACGTTCTATACAGTGGTATGTTGATTGAAATTCCTAACTTGAATCTTTCATGTTGTAAGGTGATATTTTTCATCTCAATGATATGACTGTTCCTTGGATTAATATGCTTTCTGCCCCAGCTATTTTGTTTTTAAACAATGAAAGGAAAATCCCTTATCTTGGTAAGTTAGTTTGTGTACATTTTAGGACTCGAAAATTCCCGATTCGTCAATTGTGTAACATTCATCTGTGTCAAATATGTGATATCGTTGTTAACTCAAACATAGTCCTAACATTCCCGTTTGCCATTATCTGTAATGAGCTCAAATTTGAGTGCTGGGTTTATGTCATTCGATTTAACAGTTAAATTATTTTTTGTTGAACCTGCTGTCGATCTAGTCAACTTTTTGTTGCTTAAAACATTTTTGAGATTAAATACATCGCTGGTTAAAAAATTTAGTGAAAACAAGTTAATTTTCTTAACTTGATCAAGTAATAATTCATGTCAAGACAAATCACAAAATACTCTGACTTGCTGATGTTAACATCAGTAACCGTAAAATCTTAAAACTGCTGTAGAACGCATAGTTTGAGAAACTATGCACACTTGAATTTTCCTGCCTCCCGTTAAGTTACGAGTAGTTGATGTTTACTCATTTCGAACGAAATGTGAAAGCACTGTACTCAGTTTATACATCATTCCATTTATTTATTTGGACACAAATATTGGTATAAAGAGGCACCGAATACATATGCGCCACACAAGCCAAGTGACTTGTGTGTGGGCTGTGATACTGCCCGGGTGTTCAGACCGAAGGAGATGGTTTTCTTAGGGAGCCACACCTGGAGCCTTCGACCCAAAGGTCTGATCCGCAAGGCAGTGGATCAACGTAAAGAGATGCAGTCTAATGATAGCCGGTGACCTATAATTGATTCATACGCCATTTTCTCCTTCAGGATCGTGTAGCCCATATGCACCACTGGTTTGGAATGAGGGTTTTCCAACTCCTCTAGGTTGATCCTCCGTGTCTACCAACCTGGTTAAAGCGCCAGACATTCGCTCTTCATCCTCTCAGTTTCTAAAACAACACCGCTGCCACTAGAAGTCAGTGAGTAGGACTTCCGTGGAAGTGGCTGTATACACGTGGCCATGTGAGAGCATTTGGAGAAGAGTTGACTCCCCTCACCCTCGACTGTACCAGGGCATTCGGGGGCATCATCGTGTTAATAGCATTCTCTGATGTTTTATTAAAGCTCAACGTGGATGTCGTGCAGAATTATTCGGAACAATATATGTGTTAAAAAATATATGATTTACACTATTTAAGTTTATTTGCTACTGATTAATCATCACATTCACCAATAAAGACTTAATTTTTACTCTTTTAAAGGTCCACTCCATCGCACTCATCTTATTAGCGCTATGCATCAGTTTACTACAGGTGTGCAGTCAGCTCGATTAGATGATGCTAATTTTGAACACGATACTCAGGCCTCTACTGGCTCGACAACGGGCAACTGGCTTGTTATTTTGTAAGTTTCTTGATGTGTTATTTAATCATTTGAGATTTATGTTTCGATCGAATAATGTACAGTTTTATTGATCAGTTAGTCACAAACAAGATAGAACTTGCCCAAATACGCATTGACCCGTGATGCTATTTTATGTACCATCAGCATAACTAAAGGGAAGAAAAAGGATCAGAACAATAGTAGTACCATTGATAATATCGAAAATCAAACATGGAAAATATACTTTAAAGATAAATAACTGGATCAAGGAGTAACATAAGAGAATGAATGCATCTCTTTCACTCGAATGGCTTTCGGACTGTGTTATTTGAAATAATGTACCACTGATCACGATTATTGCGCCGACCACACTTTAAGTCTCGTGAAGCGGGTAAAACACTCAATTACTCTACTTCCTATAATTAGGCTAAACATTGATACAAACCCATCTTGGAGAAAAATTTCCCATTTAGAGAGAGAGAGAAACACATACCATACTTCATGACCCTATTCAAAGTTTGCGTAGTCATCTTCAACAATTGAGGTTAGTTCATTAGCTCGCTCTAAATCAATCCGAAAGTCCCTGGGTAGGACATCGATTCTTGTTAAAATATTCCATCCATATTAGATGAAATGGTACCATGTTCACTTTGTATTTTTGTTAAATATTCTGGTTACTAAGCCACAAAGATTCTAATTTAGTCTATTTCGTGCCCACTATTTGCTTTACAGCTTAGTGGATCGGATTTCGCCAATGCACGGTCGAACAGCCGGAAGTTAGGTTCTTGTTGGTCCACTATTCGCTAGCTCTTCTCTAAGCCCAGTATTGAATCTAGAAGTAGCAACCGGCCAGACTACTTCACACCATAGATTGAGAAGTAATAATTATACATGAGCGAGCGTAAAATATCTGTAAGGAAAACTGTAAGTAACAAACTGGCAATGAAATAGGAACATTTAATCACATAACAGTATATGATGAGTAAATCGAAAACTTATGATAAAAGGAATACATATACATAGTAATCTAGTCACTTAATAATCAAATTTATTACTAATAATAATCTGAAAAAACCAATCTCAGCTCCTACTGTATTTATTACGTCATAACAACTTTGTTCGCTACTGTTGTACCTCTTAAAGTTATTCGCTTGTGAGAATATGATTATTAATTGCTGTAGGTTCGTAATTTAAAGGCTAAGCGCTCGCTGTAAGACCGAAAATCATGGGTCCCATTCTCAGTGCTGTCGTGAGTACATCTTGCTGCGGAATCCCATGTCGTGGTGAAACAGTTGTTCAGTGCTTTCTGGCTTTCAATTAATGTTGAACTTAGATTATTCCATGATGTAACGTACATATCTCAACAGTTCCCACAAAAACCTCTTCAAATAAGTAGGTTGGTTGAAATTACGTTCTCTGTGCTATTGCTAATTAAGTCATAAAGCTTTCATTGTCTATCTAGACACAACATCACGAGCACAAGCAATCTGTTAGTCTCTTGTGAAGAAATCCTCATAAATTACTTTGGTCTGAAGTTTTATCCTGATTACGTTGTTTAGAGTGACAATGGAAGCCTCATGGCTAAACTATCTCTAGCTCAGAGAACGCAATATCAACAAAATCACCCTTTTGAGCTAAACATCTAATAGTAAATATTTTAGTAGCTAAAGCATATTTAAAGCCTTGGTACATCCGGTTTATGCAGTTGGGTAGTATCATCACTAAATCTCAGACACAGTTAAGCTGTTTAACTCTCTCAAAATGATGTACAGGACTAGCACTGTCAGTGCTTCACAACTCCCTTGTTGAAGCTCTAGAAATAGTGCAGCTCAGTGGCTTTAAGACGTTATCAGATATGACTTAGAATAAAAGTCAGTGGCGGTCATGTTATGATTTCCTTTTACTTCATAAACACGAAAAACTTTTTAACTGAACGAATTCTTTCTGGTTGTATTTCCTCAGTCGAACTTCTCCCATTATTATTATTATTATTATTATTATTATTATTATTATTATTATTATTATTATTATTATTATTATTTACAACTCTCATTCGTTTATTGTTTTTGATCACACTTATACCCCTTCCCCCATTCCTTAACAGTTCCATCCTCTTATTGCGTGGCCCATATTTATTTTGGTGCCAATTTATACCAATATTTATGTGTTTAAATAAATAACTAACTTAAGCTTGTAATTGGTTACCAAGATATATTAGTTTAAACAAAGTTGACCAGATAACAAAGTATAAAACCAACTTAAGTGAATTATATTTCAAATAATTTAATAAGACAAAATTCTTGAGAATTTGTTAGTCAAACTAACCTCGTTCATAGATACTATTTAGGATCTCTATCCTTTATTATAAACTGAAGGCAATCAGCGGGATCGATATGGTGAAATTTCATCCGGCTCCAAGACTCTGACAATAGTGTTTTAGCCAATCTAAATGATAATGCTAACTTTTCGTTGTCAAAAACTGTATAAGTTGGCTAGCCAGTTTCTGATGCTCTCTCTATTCAAGTGAGTTTAAACATCAATGTGTAGGGTTTGTGGAGTTGTAAGAAATAATGACAACTGGAGTTCGAATTTTCAGATTCTCCTTTAAACTGTCCTTTTCTCTCAATATGTAACTTTGCCTGTTTATGAAAACTATATTATTTTATTTTCTTTCTCGAAAACTATTCGTTATAAAGTGATGAGATCACACCAGACACCTTACAGATCTACGATGGATTGTCGTTAACGTAAGTGATAAACATTTTAGTGTCATTAACCTTATATATATATATATATATATATATATATATATATATATATATCCATTAAAAACATTGCCTAACATTCTTTTTTTCTACAAAGTCATCTAAAAGTTCAAGCGATAGCCAGTAATTACAATAGAACACACGTCAAAGGGATTTTAGAATCCTATTTTCTTTCTGTTTCTGTCAAAAATAACTTTCTTACTAATCTGAGTGCTTGAAAACCTGTTTCAGATTCATTGTCGAAAGAACCGAATAACATCGTTTATTTGAATATTGAACTTCTTGTTCTTAGCAAATGTATTTTGCATCACACCCATTGAAATTCAAGCGTCAGTTGATTACTTCGCCATAGCAGTAAAGAGGCTTTTTACCAGTGCACACTAGTTGCTCTACCAGAGATGGAATTTAAAATCCTTGGGTTTGACCACTAAGTTAATATTCAATAGTTTCGCTACTGCCTTCTATCACATCAGTAATATCTATCACTTTTTCAGTACAGTTGAACTCCACTAGTTTCATGGTTTCCCATACCATATAATTTCAGTCACTTCCTTCATAGATCAGTATTAGCCTTTCCAACTGCGACTTTAATTGGTATTGGTTCCCAATCCTATGACAAACATCAGTTCTTTCAAAAGACAGTAAATACTCATTATTAATGAATGTCAACTAACATAAAACATAAACCCTTAATTTCTTGTCAACTGAATATCAAAACATAACACACTTAACACTGAATCACTTATATTAGTACTTACATCGTAACATGATCAAATAGAATTAGATTAGTAAAATAAAGACTAGACAATGTTAACATTGATCACTCACTACTTATCCGTGGTCGATCAGTATACAATAAGTTCATCTATTATTTATGTTAATTAAAATATCAAGAATACATATGGGTAGAATGATTCACTATTAACAAGATACATATTACAATTGTATTCATTTGTATAATTATATTATTCATTTATAAAAAGAATAATTTGCTTGAAATATAATGTCAGGAAATTTTTTATTGGAGCTACTTACATTACAGAACGAGCGTTAAGACGACACATACATGCACACAAAGCAAATATTTATTCATATAAACACATTAGATAGTTAGTAATAATAATAATGGGATAACTTGTCATTCTCCACAAAAATAATGTGGTCCATGCTACTTATATTGATGTAAGTAGTATATGACGCGAGTTAAAAACGTAATGTCTGGCAGCAGAAGATGGAAGAAGAGCAAGAACACTGTGCAATTTGTATGAAAACGCATGAACAATGGGTTGATGTTTGCAGCAGGAACAGTCCAGTTGGATATGAAGGATTGATATTTTGCAAATTGACGATTTACTATATGGTTTTCAGATTTTATTGAGATGCTCTGTAATTTTGTGCTAAATTCATTCGATTGCCCCCATCCGTGTTCTGTTCACTACAATAATATCTAAAAACACACTAATCTGTTGGATCCAACTTGTAACTTTGGAATATGTTCTTCTTATCAATTCATAAAAGACTTGTTATGTTCTTGTGTGTACCATTTATCTTTTATCTGAGCAATATTTATATTAATGAAGTAACCAAGTAGTCAAGTGTTTTTACATTCAGGATATAAATATAACAAGATAATACCACGACTCGATACACTAGATATCTACTGGATCGCGTCATATCTAATTACACAACTCATGATGAACAACTGAGAACCAGGTTATGGATCAGACAGTGTTTTGTTTAACAAGAATCTAGCAGTTTACACAGGGCAGATTCCTCAAAGACGTCAGAGATATAATATCAAGGTAGGGACTTATGCTAAACATTATAGGGTGGGCCTGTCTCTCTTCATTCACTAAACAGTCACAGCTCAGTATCACATGACACATCAGGTTTTGACCAAGTGACGTATTTATTATTTATTTGGACACAAATATTGGTACAAAGGGGCACCGAATACATATGCGCCACACAAGCCAAGTGACTTGTGTGTGGGCTGTGATACTGCCCGGGTGTTCAGACCGAAGGAGATGGCTTTCTTAGGGAGCCACACCTGGAGCTTTCGATCTAAAAGTGTGACCCACAAGGCAGTGGATCAACGTAAAGAGATGTAGTCTAATGATAGCCGGTGACCAATAATTGATTCATACGCCATTTTCTCCTTCAGGATCGTGGAGCCCATATGCACCACTGGTTTAGGAATGAGGGTTTTCCAACTCCTCTAGGTTGATCCTCCGTGTCTACCAACCTGGTTAAAGCGCCGGACATTCGCTTTTCATCCTCTCAGTTTCGTAAACAACACCCGTGCCACTAGAAGTCAGTGAGTAGGACTTCCATGGAAGTGGCTGTATACACGTGGCCATGTGAGAGCATTTCGAGAAGGAGAGCGGACTCTCCCCACTCTCGGCCGTACTAGGGCATTTGGGGGCATTCGACTACTTATCCTAAAGTTGTGTTTTATTGTTGTATATACAAAGTTATCTTGTTTCAAGTTTGACATATTGAATATCAAGCTTTTCCTGAACTCCTTTTCATCGTGTTTTGGATTATTGTTGAAGTGTTTTGTATCAGTCATCTGGTCTACCGATTTCGTGTGTGTCCAGCGCGATACCATAAGAATATCCCAGTTCCATCGTAATTAAGCATCATCTTGGCTAATCGCCATGAATTTGTTATGTCCAATCATAGACCTAACCCGTTCCCCTACCTTTTTTAGGTGGATAACTGATTATTGTCAAATTATTTAAACTTCACTATTTTTGATTATTACACAGTACATTTCTGTAATTGAAATTTTCGCACACATTTCACAAATATAACAACGATTAATTGCTATCAATACAATTATACTGCTCAAATTATTTGGATTTGACAAATGAATCATACATTGATGTACAGGAAATATCGCTTAAGTAAAAGTTCTACTAAACTCTGTGAATCATCCTCTTTCTCCCTCTCTCTCTCTCTTTCCAATAATAACTTATAAACATTACTCTCATTTCCTTTATATAATGCTTAAAGTCATATTTCATAATTTTTATAGTTTACGCGCAAAACATGTAAATATAGGCGTTCTTGATCCGAAACAGTCGACGCGTACAGCTAAACGTTTCAATATCAGCGTACCATCGGATTCTGCTCAGAATAATCCTCTAATTTCAGCAATCTTGTAAGTAGTTGTTAAAACATTTGACTTCTTCCAAATATATTTTTAACATTTTTTTTCTTATAATGATTAATTTGTCTAATGTCATAGCTATATGCTTCTTCGAACATGGAATTGGCTAACGGAATAGTTTGTCTCTAGGTGGAAAACCAAAAAGTCATAGCTCGAGACCAAATACACTGAATCCAACATGATTTGTACATTAAGTTGTATAAATTTGCATTATCATGAATAGTCACTTTATACGCTATTTATCTATAATATAGTATACATGATATAACGGATGGCTTAAAATACTTTTTTCTCCTTCACGTATACTTCTACAATACAACAATTAGACTATTAACATCATACCAGAACCAGGATTCACAACCCAGAATAGAAAACTAGAGTACAAATTAGATAATACTTTATTCGACACAGTTACAAGCAGTCCCTTTCAGTGAGTCCGGAGCAGAAATCAATGACAGGAAGGGAAATTACATATTTAATTTGTCCAGGCTGAATGGCCAATCATATTTTATTCTCACTACCACACATCAATTTATATATATGCATCAAATACCGTAGGTCATCGTTAAAAATAGAAACTAAATTTGCGAATCATGACCAGCTTTGATTCAGACAATCATCCTAATAGATATTTGCCTCGATATTAGTTATACTACTGAAATTGTCTTAAGTAAATTGTATTCACAACAGAACATTGGTAAAAATAGGGTATTCATTACTCACTATGATAATAAATTATAGTAATGTGTTTTGTTTCTTAGCTTTTAATTCATAATTTCCAAATCTTACAATAATTTATAAACCCTAATGGTTATTTATGTGAAAACAGAAAAAAAAACGAGATGATCTCATCAAATATGTTAGACTATTGGTTTTTTAACTGTGGCAAATAAATGCACTAATAACTTCCCTGTTCTAGGTTTGTTTCCAGTGAATAGTGTTATGATTACACATGTTGTTTTTTCTTAAAAAAAATGGCTTACAACTAATTAAAATGTTAAATATTATGCGATACAAACGAGAACATTTCACCTTTCTCTATCGTATGCAGGAAAAAAATATTAGTACATTGAGATTCATGCATTTTATATATAATAAGGGGGATAAGATGATTCTAGTAGCTAAACTGGTAGATTAATTTTTATGATTGTGTGTGGGTAACGGATAATGAACATTTTTTTCAACAAATAACAAATAAAATACCTATCAAACATAAATTTTATCAGAATGGGTTTTGTGGAGATTTTAGAAATTTCACTGGTCGAAATCATGAGTCAATTGAAGCTAGACCACCGTGGAAAACCTGAAAGCACTGGACGGCCGTTTCGTCTTAGTATGGGACTCCTCAGCCGTTACCAGTGAAGTTCAACCAGGTCTGTTGTGAGATAGGAACTCACTGAAGACAATGGTGTACGGTGGCGCAACTTCGTGGATTGGTTGAAGTTAGATATTAACACCGTTGGATGACGGCTTAGTGGTCTAGTTGGTTAAGCGTCTGGCGCGAGACTGATAGGTCCTGATTTCGAATCTCGCGGTGGGCGGGATCGTGGATGCGCACTGCTAAGGAGTCCCATACTAGGATGAGACGGCCGTCCAGTGCTTCCAGGTTTTCCATGGTGGTCTAGCTTCAATTGACTCATGATTTCAACCAGTGAAACATAAATTGGTTGTTAATAAAAGTAATATATTTGTAATACCATAATGAGTATTAAAATTAAATCTTTTGACGTTTTGTCGCTCAGTATAATCCGATTCTTCAGAGAATAAATAACCACATTAAATTAACCCAATTTTAAATAGTTTCCTACGTATCACTACTTGGGTTAATTTAATCTGGTTATTTATTCTATAATGAAGTGGCTTACATTGAGTGATGAAACGTCAAAATATTTAACTTTCTTACTCATTGGGATATTACAAATACATTATGTTTATTTATAACAATCTACCCCAATACTCAATTTACTTGAAATTATCAAGTCAAACGTTGGTAATGATACCTAGAAATTTGTTGAATTATTGCACAATTACTAATGAGAATTTCTCACTGTGATACAGTTGTTGGTATTGAGTTATTGAATAAAATTGATTTTTGGTAAAGTTTCACATTATTTCAACAGTATCTTCTTGGATAAATAACCCTGTGTTCCACCTACTTTGGTTTAGGCAACCGGGTTATATTATCAATTCACATTAAGAGTGTGGCTCATACCCAAGTACCTAGTAAAATGAGTTAATTTTAATCTCCTAATATTGTATTCCAGTGTAGTTGTTAATTATAGAGAAAGACCATTTTAACTGATTTACTTCGCACGGATTTATATGCTGTAAGTTTTGGTGTAGATGAGAACAGTAAGATCTGGTTGCCTAAATTGAAATAATTAAGTGCGTCTGAGTTCGGACCTATGTTCTGTGAGATATTTATTGGTGTATGAGTAGGTTGGAAGTAAACTAGAGGTGGCTAAATCACGACGTGAAATCTGTACTCGAATCCATTAACCGTTGACTCGGGTTGTATGGACAGGTACATACTATCTGGTTGTGGTTTGCGCAATCATCGTAATGAATAGTTAAAAACGTCGAGTGATATTTCTCAAAATCGGTTATAACGGCGCAGATATACTTACTCTTTGTTCCTATTTAGTTTTCGAAACTATTTCATACCTTTTACCCGACCTATTCATCCCTTCCTCGAAGTAATATTCTCTTTCCCCAATGTGTTTTACTATCAATAATACTGCAGCTACTTTTACCACTATGATATTAGTCTTGGTGATTTCATCACATTCCACATCAACTTGAACTGATGTGCACATATACCAGGTCCTTTAGTACTTATAATTGACTGACTCATGATATTTTGGTTGAAGCCTAGTCGTTTAACCAACTGGAGTTACTCATCCACAACTTATGAGAAAGTGTAATACAATATGCAACACCCAGTTCGATAAAACTGATATATTTTCTCATTCATTATTGTTCTTTTTGTGATCAGTAATCATCGATTTGCACTTTTTCTTCAAACTTCTAATCCCCCTTGCTAGTACTATTGATTTATGCTAATTAACTAAAGATTTTATTTGTAATACTTTGCAAAAAACATGATTATAATGATCATCTTTAGGTGTATTATTGCTTAAAAAACACACTTTCATAATGTTATGTTAATCAGTCATTGGTTATAATCGGTGCAGATCATCTAATTAGGGATGGTACAGATGCATTCACTTTGTCTCCCCTTAGTTTTTGAATTTCGAAATCTTATAGTTACTTCCTTTTTCCATATGCCTAATCGATCCATATGTATCAAGTTTTACTTTGCATATCCCAAACTTACTGGTTGATTTTCAATTCTAACAATAGAGTGTGAATGAGGGGATTTGATAAACCTTATTGATTTCTTCACATTTGATCTTCAAAGTTTATTTGTAGTTATATTTTTTCATTTAGTGCCTATTTCATATCATAGAAGAGTGAGTAATATTACTAATACAATGGAGTTTTTCATCTTACAGAGTCAGTTATCGAATTTAAACACATCCTATGTCATCACATACATGTATGCTGCGTCATCTAGACAGAATTCAAGTGAACAGACTCATATAATAACACTTACTGATAGATTAGACTCTATATGAATGGTCCTATCTTTTCATTATATTCTACTTTATGCAAATGCTAGGTGATCTGAGATAGTGTTCAAGGAACCCTGAACATAGGTTTCATGTTAGTTATAAAACATATGAGTGACGAAGAATAAACTAATGTAACCCAGCTTACAGACAATGTTTCATGTTTAAGGATTACTGACTCAGTAGTTCTAATGTTTAAGTGTTCATCGCTAAACCTAAAGGTTCTGTATTTGATTTCTGGTGACTTCGTGAGTGCATCCTGTTGAAGAGTTAAACACTAAGATGAGGCAGTGCTCAAATGTTCGTTAGTCAAGACGTTCAACCACCAAGTTTCATATTAGTACTCCACCCACATCTACATATTGGTTAGTATCTGCTATGTTTGGAGAGATTACGAGGTCACCTAAAATCGGCAAACGAAACGAAGGATCAGTGACACAAAGACAAGACAGTCAAACTATTCTAATGTGTCCTAGCCCCTCTAACTAGAGGGAGAACTCCAGGTTTAGATGAAGGAAAGTATATTCCACAAGCAACCAGAAGCACGAGCAACAGCAAGCACACAACTCAAGCGTATATATACAGCATAAAAAGTCCTTGAGAAACGTCTCAAAATAGCATATTAAAAAAAGAAGGAACCAATGATATTTAAAGTCCTGCCAAGTGGGAAATACAATGTGAAGGTGAAAATGGGCGCTTTTGGAGCGGAAATAAGAAGTTCAAATTTCCAAAATAAAATTACAAAAATAAAACGTTTATCAAGTGATATATAGGGATCTGACATCCCTGACAGTATCATTCACATTCGCTTCTTATGTCAATACATATGTTTTTAATATATCTGTTTTATTCACTAGTTTTTAGAATCAGTGAACAGACTATAGTGTATGGATGCAGCGTTTTTCGTTCTCATAAACACACTTCTTAACTCTGTCACTATATTTCTCATAAAACAAAAATTAAATATTCCTATATTTCTTCATTATATATGAAGTATCTCGTCATTCCTGTTTAATACTGAAATCTTTTCTAATTTCCACTCTACCATACCTCATAATTTTCTAATATTTGTGTGTAAGTTTTTCTGTATATATGAATGCAGGTACATAATCAATTAGCTTGTTAGTGTGTGCTTTATCGAATTTAATCTCTATACTCTTTGTATCCTGTACGTGTGTTAATGTTAAATAACCACTATACATTGTTTTCTCTTTGTAATCATATTACGGCATCAAATAGTGTACATTATACTAGGTTAATGTGTTAACTACCACTGATAAGATAAATGTCATTTTAACATTCGAAACTTTTTTTTATAATTTGAATTAGATCAATATGTATGAACAGAATAAAATATTAATTTCAATAGTTGAGATCATGAGTCAATTGAAGCTAGACCACTATGAAAAACATGGGAGCACTGGACGGCCGTTTCGTTCTATTGTTGGACTCCTCAGAAGTGCGCATCCACGACCTCGCCTCGCAGAATTCGGACCCAGGACCTAACAGTCTCGCGCACAAGCGCTTAGTCACTAGACCACTGAGTCGGGATCCAACATTGTTGTTATCTAATTTTAACCAATTCACGAAATTCAGTGACACACCCAGTGAGTTACCATCTCACAACAGACCCGGTTGAACTCCAATGGTCACTGCTTCTCATGATCTCAACCATTAACATTACTATAATATATCTACAAAACCCTTCTGATAAGAATAGAATATGTTTGCAAATTAAATTGTTTGATAGAATTGTGTTTATCTAAATATTCGAGATATCCAGTGTGTTTTAAGACGACTTATACAAATAATAATTAATGAGTAAACATAGTTTTAATCTAAATTATACACCCTTGGTCTTCATTTCTTTAGTATACGGATCTCGATAGGATACTTCATTGTTTCTTTTTCCATGAATTGAACTTTCTATTTACCAATCTAATAGAATCATTAAGCGATTGAGTCCTCTTACACAGTTAATCATAATTGACCTTTAATATTAAACTGATATTGATTGGAACAACAGAAAAGTCAGTTGATGTACTCTTTATATTTTATGATTCGATAAACCAAATGAAAATTATATCCATCAATTACAAGACCACAACGCACCATAAATATGGAATCACGATCAGTACATAATTGATAATTTCCTGATATGATGGTTAAAAAAAAACAATTTTCCTGAGTTATTTTGGGGTCGGTGTGATGGGATCATAATACAGAAGAACATTTGCATCAGTCTAGTTCGAGTATTGATTAGCTCACCTGAAATGTGTATCTGTTGATAATCGCCTTCTACTAACCAATAACATAATGGTAGTGAGAAAACTTCTGAGATCAATACTTAACGATTGTTGGTCCAGAGTGTAGTTATGCCACGCTATTCCAATACCCAGAGTAGAACATAACATAGTTGGTAGAAAAATTCTAACTATACATTTCAAATATCTGAATCATATAGAGTAAAATCCTGACCACACATTAGCATAATTAAGAAATTACAATGTAGACATACTACGCCATAAGTGAAAAAGAATTGAGTAATAGATTACCAGAAATTTAAGAAAGGTACATCATGTGACAGCAGTTTATGTTTCACAAACAGGAGAGTACAATAACCGAAGTATTCATTAATTAAACGACAAAAAATAACTCCAGATAATAATAATAATAATTTTATATTCTGAAAAATAATAACAATAACTACACAATTCACGCCAGTTTACAGGGATGATCAATTTGATATAAATAATAACGTTAGACGTGCAGAACAAACATGTGATAAAAGAAAGTTTTAAGTATACTAGTTCAGTAGTTGTTTAAGTAGTACATTTATTACAGCGATCCAATGCATCAGCCGGAAATTTTTAATATTTCTTAAATGGACAGCCTGTTGATTTATGAACGGTGTAATTAAAGTCAGTTCGTGTGCCAGATCGAAATAATGATAATTATCTACAACTAGAGAAATTAAAACGAAAACAGAGAGCACGGAACAACAAAGCAGTAATTACCAAAATATATCAATCAGGTCTACCTAAATGCGTGTGTCATGTGACACAGTGATATACTGTTTATGTTATTCAAATTAGTTAAAGTTGCTAGGGGCAGTGTTAACATATTGACAGCAAGTGGGTGGTTTTACTAAGGGAATTCACTAATAAAGATGGCTGAACATTTAAGGTTCCTAAAATATCACTTGTGGAATGAGATACACTTAAAGGCGCTAGACCATTCAATGCATTTTCAGAGGAGCAGTTTTAAAGTTTCAACTTTGTTTCATATTTATCCCTTCATAGAATTATCCACGTAATACTCTTCAAAGGTTTACTATTTATATCAGTTTTATTCTATCTATAATCCGCTTAGTAAGTGAGGCTGGCATGTAAATTTTCTGTTAGGATACATAGGTATATTTAGAAAGATTTTTAATCGGTCATCGTCATTAGAAATTTCTAGTGAGAGTTTTTTTAATTAAACATCACAAGGTGTTTTCATATTCATACTCATTATCAGCCCACTACATTAAAAAAATGCTGGTAAATCAGTTAAGTTTTGTTTAAACCATTGCACAATATGGAAGTTATCTCAGTAACTCCACAAACATACCTTAGATTAATGTGAATAAACTATTATAATCTTGAAGTACAGATCCAATTCATTTTGATTTGTCTTCTTCGGAAATTCAAAGTTTAAGCCTCTCGATGTAACAACTAATTTGTCAGTGTCATATACAACATTCTATGTGAACAGTTAGTGGTTCGGCTTCAATAATTCATTAGTTTTGTTGGAGTTACACTCTAGGAGCAATGGGTGGTTCAAGTGTGGAGTGTTCATTATCTTCCTAGACTCAACATCATCAACATAAATCTCAGACAAAACAGAACTATTCAGATTGATTAGAAACATGAACAGCTATAGGATCAAAGTAAACCTGCAAACAATGACAATTGTCAACAACCAATTAGATCTAAGGTCTATGGGATAAACTAATAGTAACTTGTGAAGTCAGTCAGTCAGTAACAACGTAGAACTTCGTACGTACGTACATCAGTTCGAGTTGCCACACCACATTAGCACAGAGATGCACTTGTCGATTCAAATCCCGTAGTGGTAGAGGTAATAAGAGTATAAGCAGTAATCGGGAAGATTAGGGTTTGGAGATGTTATTTAAAGAGTATAATCCAGTGAAAGAACTTGTGAAGAAATTCGAATAGTTCACTTCTATTTGAAATTTGTACTGATGTTTTTTCCAGGAGAACATTGAAGACTTCACAATTAAACCTTTCAGCTTAGAGAACCTACCTCCAATAAGATAATCCAAATGGCCTAAGAAACTACTCCGCCATCTCATATATATATATATATTGTTTACCGTCGCAATATTGATGTGCGAATTTTTCCAACTTTCATTAGATTAAAACAATCCACCATGTATCAATATTCAAAAAATCTACACCGAATGGATTATGAGCAAGTTACCCAATTTGCGCTTACTGGCTATCCAAATCATATTAAAGGTTCAATTCCACGTCCACGTATGATGTTGTAAGTGTGTATGTTGATAAGTTGCTTTTTTGGCTTATTGTTCCAGTTCTGTTGACTTGAGTTCGTTTTTCTTTCCAAAAGTATGTATCATTCATAAATATGTTATGACGAATTTTTTAACAAAGCAAGAAGAACCGTCGTAGCAAAATAACAAGGAGTTATTCATTTTATGGGATTGTATCAACTATTCACAAACTAGAAACATTAACGACATTCATCAGTGACAATAATTGTTGAAGAATCTGAAGAAAAATCATTCGCATGGTTGTTGATTCATCGATTAACTTTGTAGGGATTCTAAAGGAAGAAATAGGAAAGATTTACAACGTGGATTATTTACTAATAGCTGAAACCTAAAAAAATAACTCTTTGAAGTTTCCGAATTGGGTCGAATATGCTTCATCATTATGAGATTTGAGGATTGTGTAACATGTAAAAGTTGTTTTTGGAAGTTTTATTCCTTTGTTGATAAACTTCATTGTTGACAATAAGATAAGTTGAAGTAAAGCGTAAAAATGTCGTTTCCAATACTAACTTATTCTAATTCTTTCTATCCAGAATGGTACAACTTTGAGTGAAAATCTCAAGCTCTCATTATTCAACACATTACAAACTATTTTCCGCTTACTCATAACTATAGGGAATATTTTATCAAGTCTAGTATAAGGTAGGATATCGTTCGTTTATTGTAATGATAATATGCAGTCGAATTACACTGTGTATACAGTTTCTGTTATCTGAATTTCTAAGTGTACTTTCTCCTTGCTAAATATTATTTTAGTAACGTACCTGCTACTGTTTTTTCGCGACCATTTTACTCATGAAAATAGGTATGGTCCATATCCTAATATGCGACTACATCCAGCTAATGAGTCCCAAACGGGACGAAACGCACATCTTAGATTTTACTACGAGCCACCATCTATCCACCCATATTTTGTTTCTTTTTACGCAAAGTACCATAACGTTTTTGTATTTTTTTTAAAAACTACATCGTATCTCTTTCAGTGATGAAATGGTCGATGCTCTTGTTGGATTTACTGTGGTAAGTGATATATTAAGGGTCTTTATATATAGTCTACTTGTCAATATCTAACAGTTCTGGTTAAAAGTTTATAGGCAGTCTATGTTAGACGCTTGGCAATTGTTTCATCTTAGTATAGAACTCATCAACAATGAGAATACAGGATCCCATCTGAGATCGAACTCGAACCTCACAATGAGCACTTAACCTTGCAATTATTGAGTTGGTACTTTTGTCTTATTCCAGTGACGAGACTATAATTTATGGACGGACCAGTCAGATTTGCGATAATAGATCTTGAATTTCAGCGCGAAATTCTTCATCCATTTGGCTAAATAGCGTTTCGGCCTTTTAGCTCATATCAGTTCGTGATGAAAGCCCTAACCATCAATTGTAAATATTAATCAGAATTTCTCACACTGGTTTATGACCTTCATTTAGCCCTAGTACGTAGGTGAATGTTATCGAGGTCACTTAAGCGTAGCTTAAAGGTTGTCCATAAATTATAATCTCACCGATAATAGTCTGTAATATAATTAAATCATTTTCCAATACACGATATTTTAAAATAAAGAGTTACATTGTATTTATTTAAAGTTGTTCATAACAAAACATTGTTCTTTAACTATACAACGGAAGTGAATTGTTCACCGTAAAACTGACTTTGTTTAATAATTGAAAAATTAAGTAACCCTATTGATCGATTACACATACTCAAACATAGATAGTCAATATCATCATGTATGTGTATTGACTACTTAAATGAGCTGATTACATTTCCTCAATTTATATTTCTATCCATGACTTATTCGTATAGATGTGCAGGAATGCGCACGCTACTCATTATACCATACATTTTCGGTTTAATTATTTCAACCGTTTTTGTTCTTAATAGTCGACTCTTGTTTTTATCCGTTAGATTTTAAATAAAATCGGATTGAATTTATGTCTGTCTATGGATTTTCTACATCTGAATGTTTATTTCGCAGCTTGTCTAACAGATCTCAGATATGATGAGAAGTACATTTGAATGTAAACTTACAAGTAATCAGTGGAATGCTTTTAACTTGGGATCGCTAGTTAAGGATTCTGAAAATAATAACACTAGTTAATAAACTATTGTCTAGACTCTTTAGGTAGATTTTAATAACATTCAGTAAGAAAAAAAGAAAGGAATAATAGCCAATTGTCAAAAAAGACGACTGAATCAAAAGGTAGGATGGTTTACGGAATAGTTCAAATAACTTTTGATAACATTGAATAGAAAATTAGTCTTAAGCTTCCAACTTTTGGAAAAGTTGAGTATACTGTATCTCTTCGGAAGAGATGAAGGGTATGAGACACTAATGAACTATCTAAGTGCTAGTTAGGATTTCCTTTTCAAACTAATTATTGTATAAGTTGTGTCATGAAAATTGTGCATAATTCCTTCTGCGTGATTACTGTTTATACTGATTTGTTTATCTACTTATTTAAACACATAAATATTTGTACAAAGAGGCACCAAATATATATGCACGGGTGCCCAAACCAAAACAATTGGTTTCCTTAGTCTCCCACTCTCCAAGCATTTGATTTACAAGTTTAATCCACAAGGCAGTGGATCAACGTAAAGAGATGCAGTCTAATGATAGCCGGTGACCAATAATTGATTCATACGCCATTTTCTCCTTCAGGATCGTGGAGCCCATATGCACCACTGGTTTAGGAATGAGGGTTTTCCAACTCCTCTAGGTTGATCCTCCGTGTCTACCAACCTGGTTAAAGCGCCGGACATTCGCTTTTCGTCCTCTTAGTTTCGTAAACAACACCCGTGCCACTAGAAGTCAGTGAGTAGGACTTCCATGGAAGTGGCCGCATACGCGTGGCCATGTAAGAGCATTTGGAAAGGGAGCTGATTCTCCCCAAAAGAAAAAGTAAACTGTTGTCAGCCTGTAATTTGCGATCTTAATTAATATAATTTATTAAGCACCAGAGTTTACAGTATTTCAAGCTCACCGGAAACTAAACAATGTATATCAAAAACGATCCCCACTTTCCAAAAGATCTAAAAATGGAGCTATACACTTTGAAATTCCTCCTATTAATTATATTAGTCATTACAGAGAATATCATATTATACAGTAGTCCATCATCAGGTCTTGTGTGAATATATATCAGTATATCCATTTTTACGTCAACTAGCTATCTTCAGTATTTTGTACCTACCACATTTTTTTTTACTTGGATTGCCAATTATTTGTTTCATGTTTGAGAGGTGACCAAGGATGTTATGCATAAACACACAAAGAAACCTATATAACGGGAAGTTTTATAATGCTCTATTATCGCTACACTTTCTTTTAGGACATTGTATTACCTGGAAATCTTGGTCATTTGTTAGTTGTAATCATTTTCCTCCATCAGACTTCCAATCATAAACAACGTACGGTCGGGGACTTTTTGTGCGTTTGCTTAAGTTATCATTATTTTACATCAACACCGCGACAGAAAATTAAAACAAATTGCGAGAAACAATATCGAATGTGGTGAAGATCTGTCTCTTTTGTTTTCTTAACGTACATCATCAAGTGTTAGGCGGCAACCAACCATCCAAAAACGTATCTAAACAAAATAAGTTTGTAATTGTTTATTTTTCATGGGTTGACTTACCGTTTTCTACGTAAAAGCTTCCGACTACAATATTTCTTGTCTCGCTATTAATTGTATAACGCACGGACAGCGCTTAGGAGACACTTGTGGTCAAATATTCGTAGCCTACGTGTGTTTTCCATTTCTGCAGATGATATTTCAGTTGTACAATGATATAGAGCAAACTGCTGTGTGGTACACTCGCTTTTTATGGTAAGCAGCGCAGCATTCCGTCTGAGCTCCGAGCGCTATGTACGTGGCAGTGAACCCAAACTATTGCACAGTTTCAAAAGTGTTGTCTTCCCTAAAATCCGTCCTACAACAAGGATGTGCATCACAAGTATGAAGTATGAAAATACAGTTACAGATACCTTGATTTTCTCATTAGCAGAGTCCCGTATATGTGTTTTAAAAACAAACGTGAAAACAATACTACTCAAACCTAAACGTACGAAGTATTGAGACATCCCAGGTAACGTAAGTGATATTGGTAGAAGTGGTATTGGAGTGGATTAAATATATATTGTTTCGTTTCCTTTATTATTTACTATGACAGTGACGACTGATGTATCTACATTCTTAGTTTTATTCTATCACTTTCCATAGGACCTACAAAACGAATTCGGGAAACCCCTCGTAATATTGCTTGGAGTTATTGCGTTGTTCACTGTTATGATTTTTGTTGGTTTAATACTAGTAGTAGGGTTTTGGTTCGCAGGATCTTTTGAAAATGATGATGCAAAAGAACATGTCTCATTGATAAAATCGCCTCATCAAACTGATGATGACAAAAGATCAGAATCAATTAAGAAGACGAAAAATGAATGATAAAATGTGCTTACTATTTCTTTTCATATACACTCAATCGAAAAAATCTCTTGTTGGACATTTTTACACTCATGGAATTTTTCTAAATCCTTATCAAAATCTGTTTGGTTAACTTCGTATGCTATGAAAATAACTATGCTTTACTTTTTATCAAGATTGACTAAAATTTTGTTTATACGTTTTATTTATTGCTGAATATAATTATTTCTGTAACGTATCTGTTTTGCCTTCAGATCGTTAAAAATTGATGAAAGATGTAGGCAACGCAGGACATCGTATATATATATATGCATTGATCCATTACTAGGAAATTGTGTGGCGCTTATCAATCACCAATCTATATTTTAGCTTTTGATCTCAGATTTCACAATTGGATAATAATAGTATTTCAGCATGTCGGCTCAAAATATTGTCATTTTCAGAAAATAAAAACCCGTTAGTTTAGTATCGTAAAATAAGTAGTAGAGCCTCCTCAAATTTGTTATCGTCTGACGCTTCAACTTTTTTTCGCCCGAATCAGATTAAAGATTGTATATCTTAATTAGATTCTTTACTTATGGCTAATTTCTAACAACCGATTCCTTCATACTCAAAACCCATTTTGAATAAGCCTTACTATCTTTATAATGCCACGAGTGTTTGAAAGAAAAAAATTTCGAGATCAACTCTATAGGTGAAGACTGGTTCATTAGTTGGAATTGGGATGGTGTATAGATGTGCATTAGTCATAGACTATTATAAGAAGATAAGCTTTCGCACTACCCACCACCACAAAGAAACAAAATTTAGTTAGAGTTTCGTCCTCTGAGCTGGGTGGTTTGATTTACAACATCAAAATTAAATATAGTTTCGCAAAAGCCGAGGGTAGAACCTAGCGATTGATGGGGAACTAAACGGGAAGTATTGTTTTGAAGGAGTGAATAAAACGATAAGGCTTAAGATTGAAAGGCGCATTAAAGAATTTAGGTATATGTACCACTGCGAGTGATTAATATTTTGTCACCAACCCCCAATCAGGAATCTCAATACGGCTAAACCAAAAAGCCTATAGGTTTAGGTACTGATGATATATCTTGACCTGACGCCCAATACTATTCGTTCATTCTATTTATATGTCCGTCAACATAGAGGCGGTGACTGGATAGATTCGTACATGGCCCAACCACCTGTTGTTTAGAAATTCATTCGGTCCAAATACCATCTGTATGTATAACTCTTTCCTTAACATCATTGTTGTTCACTCTGTAGTTTCGTTATTGGTGGGCAATATTTGAACGCCGCTTGTGACCAAATATTATACACCCAACAATTAGTTATATTGCTGTAGTACTTGATATTATTTAAGGGACCTGCAAAGTAAGGAACCACTCTTTAAACAAGTCTGGTGTTTATAAATAGTTTACTAAGAATAATTTAAAGACCTGGACATTTTAACTTGAACTGTTTTATGCCTAATGGTTGGTTAGTAAGCTATCTATCCAGTGTTTTATGACTAGCTAGTATAAACTGATTGATTTCTTTGCACTTGTGTTTTGATGACACAATACGGCACAAATGAAGTTAGTTGGTTGTTCAGCTCTCCCATACCTTACAAACTTTACATCTAAATAAATCGACCAGATCCGGTCGACTAGTGAGTACAAATTACTATAAATGTCTAGACAAAAATATGTAGCATCAGCAGTGAACTACCTCATATTTAGAAATACCACACGATTTTAAAGTCCGTACTAACAAATTACTAAACCAACCTTATAAGGTTGATTATAGAGAAAGTATACCATGTCTATTAACAACTACCCACAAGTTTTATTAATAGTAACAAGTATTTCTGGAATATTTAGTTTGTATATTATTAGGAAGTGACCAAAACAATCTTCCTCTGCGTTTCTTCGAGCTTGTGCAAAACATCATCAACAGGTAAAGTGGTTCGAACGGTGACTGTATTGTTCTCAACACTCGTCTCGACTTCCTTAATTGCATCTAAATATGACTTAAGGTGTGTCTCCTACTTTTCTTACCTCCAAGAGTCATTAAAACTCTCTTCGCGGCCTTAGCACAGCCCTCACAACTCATTTCCATGTTAAATGTATATGTCTTAATTTGTCCTTCCATAGTCTGTAATACCGCGTTTACCAATAATTGTGATGAAATACTAAAACAAGTTTCAGTCAAAACGCTCTCAGGTGATCAAAAGTCCTGATAATCACATACTTAGTATAGTGATAAGCAAAAATGAGATACTATCTTGAACATCATATGTTATATATGGAGTGAAATTGAACAGATTGACGGCATTGTTCTGATAAATAATGTAGGATAGGTAGTCCGTGTTAATCCTGGCGATGGTTGCCTCTCAGTTGGACCAAATTCCTTTTGAAGATGTCGATAGACGAAGCTTTAATCATATGTTGAGATAACTAATTACATTTGTTGATGATTCTATGGGAAAGTCTATAATCACTTGACATTAATTTGTTCTGGGGTTGTGAACTTTTATAGTGCCATCGTGAATTCTCTGCTTTGGAAAAAAATAAAAGTGTTAGTATATCAGGTGCAAATTTATCACTAAGTGATTTGAGAACTTTGGTCAATTCGTTATTTGTTTTTTTACATGACAATGGGAATAGGTTAAATTTAGGAAGTAGAGCTCCACGCCGGAGTCTTACTATTTCGGGAATCAATTTGGTTGCGGTTCTCCGAACCTTTCTAAACAGCTGACTGCATTATTTTGGCAGAAGTTAGCTGATTGTATACAGTACTGGAGTCAAAAGATTTCAGCATCAACATGGCTAAAGGCCTTATGTATTTACCATAAAGTTTTAAAACCTTTGGCTGCTATTGCATGGCAGTGTGCAGTAGTTTTTACGTTTTGACTAACGATGACTCCTAAGTCATTGTGTATCTGGACAACAGGTATCTGTACCTAGATGACCAATATGCATCACAATACACGTGGAAGTATTTATCGGCAACTGCCAAGTTTGGGACCATTCAGATAATTTTCACAAATATTTTCTCCAAGTCATTTCGAAGTTCCAAGCTATCACCCTTACTTTTTATCGCTCCCATATCTTGACATCGTCAGCATATAACAAAACCGATGATAATAGGAGACTAGGAAAAGCATTTACAAACGGGAGGAATTATACTGGTCCCCAAACTGTGTCCTGAGACACTCCATTAAGCACAGTTTCCCAGCTAGACAACTTTGAGTCCACCCGTGCTCCTTGTTGGCATCCAACTAGGAAGTCTTTTACCTGCACTAGTAGATTGCTTCCAACCCCGATAATTCTTAACTCACATGACAGTCGATTATGAGGAATTTTGTCGAAAGCCCTGCTGAAGTAAACGTAATTTACATCTATGGTAGCTTTTGATCTTTAAGAGCGCACTAATTTTCATGGGCTATTATTAATTTAGTTGGGCATCAAAAACCTGTCCTAAAGCCATACTGCTTTTCAGAAAGAATCCGGTTTCTGTCGAGGCATTTAAACAATGTGTGAATAATCTTTTCCAAGAATTTAACAACCATTATGATTGTGCTAACGAGTTGATAGTTTTCAGGTTTATGTCTTGTACCAGTTTCAAAAATAGGACTTACAATAGCATTCTTTTATTATTTTGGTAATCGACCCTGAGTTACAGGTATATCAAAGCATGTACTTAAGGGATTCACGACAGAATTCGCTAACCCATTTAGTCAACGCCGCGCGCGCTACGGACTAGACATTACTTTTAGGCCAAGGACCTCAGTTTTCTTTTTCTAGGATTCTCACAGAGCTGGATGGATTATTTTTTCTTGGAATTACGGAAGATAACTCTGAACTATTTGCATATAAACTGTAAATTTCATGCTATATGATTAGATCTGAGTTTAACTTGTTCATGGTATTTATGATCATACCCACACAATAATTCATCATCGTATAATTACATCTTATTCATTTTGGCAATACGATCTAACTATGCCCTGTCATTTTTTAAACCATACACAATCATATCCGACGAAGAATTGCATTTCATATCTGTATTCCACTCCTTAAGGAATATTTAATTATATTGTGTTTGGATACTATAACCCACGTACTTTATGCATTTACAGGATCTATTCAGACCTCCACCTAATATCAAGAAATATATATAATCGTGTATGATAAAGCACCGTACTCACTATTTTATGTACTATCATTTAAATTGTAGTTGGATATTATAACTCATTTAATTCCTGAAATTACCGGTTTAATTCAGTGAGTCTGTTATAGTTTTCTTGACAGTATTTTTACCCAAAAAGCTGTTTCATATATTTGTTCATAAATTAACACAATAATCTTAGACGGTAATAATCTTTTAAACTACTTATCTCTGCACCTCCCAATTTTTACTAATGCGGGCTTTCAGTTTATATATGTACCACATACCGTATTCACTTTGATTGTTTGATACTAATTATCGACATTTCTAAATTAATTTATTATACGAGGCTATCTTTACGTATAATATATATGTTAAAACTTACAGAACGTGCTCCTTTATGTTATGTTTTGCCTCCACACAGGTACTGATATACATAGTCCATCTTCCTGCAATTCTCATCTCTTGTTTTTGACACATTCACTAATCCTCACGATACATTCACTCTTGGTTAAAACATAGGTTTTGATTTCCAGACTATCTTCAGACCTCGGCATTGATCTTTTCACCCATTTCTATTTCCAACATTTTGTTCAATCCATTTTGTATACGTCACTTTCTTATCATGCCACAAAAGAAAATAAAGACCCCTACTTCTAGGCGTCCAACCAAACTTAGGAAAACGATACAATTTAACACAACAACTGACACGATTTCCGACATTTTCAACGAGACGAGCCATTCCGTTCATCGGGAAGCTGAAAAGCTTTTACTAGATGTCTCCATTCCAGACATGTTGAAAACTCTGCTGGTAAACAGTGATGATAATCGCAACTGCAATCATATGGGTGATATAAAAACGTTGCAAGTTGACATGAGCATTTTCAATCCGCCTAAATATCTCATCAACCCCAACCTCACAGAGACTCTGGATCAAATGAATGACATAAATAATTTTCTAGATCGTGTTGCATAAGAAGCATTTGAAAGAATAAGACGATCTAGCAATGCAATTGCGTTTAATATACCGGACACATATGCCCTTAAAAATATCAAATCTAGTCTGCTTAGAGCCAGCAATATGACACACCTTCCATGTGTATGCACAAGATTAAAAAGAAGTCAACCTGGTATGCACTTACCGATCTTGTTTAAATTCAACTCATCTTGAGACGCCAGTCGGTTTTTAACTTTCTCAAATTCATTGAGACGACAACAGATTTTCAAGAATATCAAGATTCTTCCACATAGAACACCACGCCTGCGAAAAGCAGGTAGAAATAGATACAGACCGCCAGTGTCAAACTCCTAAATGCATCATAATCCTAATGGTCGTAAAATTAAGTTCGATTCTAAGAGAATGTCTAGCTTTACAAGTATGCCGCCACCGAAAAACTCTTCTGAGTCTCCTAAAGTTCAAAACCCAGAAGAAAGTAAGTCCGGTGTAGATGGTGTCCATCCTCGTAAGAATGTTGACTTAGATTCAACTCGAAGTAGTTGTGCTGATGACGAATGGGACAACACAGTTCAGATCCCTATTAGTGCAACACCCAGTTACAGTAGCTGTGAGACGGATAAAGGAAAGCCAATCATAACATTTGTATAAATGACCACACACTAAAAGTCAATATATTCGAACCTTGCAAACCATTGCAAGTATGTTTAATAGCACACGATCATCTCCAAATTATGAAGAAGCCGAAATCAACCACAAACCTTGGAAATAAACGTCTGGAACACGCTACCCATACATCAGGTATAAATAGTAATTTGAACTGTAAATGGCCATTTGGTCGTACACGTAGACCTGGTAGCGTTCATCGTCCGGCTTCCAATATGTACACTATGCCTTTATCAGATGTTATATCCAATAGCAATGAGAAGACGTTTTTTGTAATCTGTTTCCCCTCACAACACAAATCTTACGTTAGCCAATCCTACGACTATTCATGGAACTACCGATTGCGATTTATACTCTAAACTGCTTCACCATGATAACTCTGAGTTTCTCATTCTTTCGTTCACTGTCCGGTCTCTGTCCAATAAAATTACTCATCTTAAGATCCTTTTATTCCTTGTAAATCCAACCATTGTACTTATTACGGAAACGTGGTGCAATTCATCTATATCCGATCACTCCTTGAATTTAGATAACTACGTTTACTTTAGAGCCGAGAGACGTTTTGGATTAGTAGGCGGTACAATTGTCCATGTCCGTTCAGACATTCAGGCGTGCAAATTTGATGCTATAGACGATTCCACTTGGGTTACTGTAAACTGTGATTCACAAAATTATCTACTGGTGGGATGCATATACAGACCACCTCATGCGGATACTAAGTTTGACAGATTACTAACAAACATCTTTTCCATTGCTTTGCACCAACCGCATACTTTCGAAATCATCCGAGGTGATTTAAATCTGCCAAACATTATGTGGGGTTTGACTCCGGTATCAGGTCGATATAACAAGCTTGCCGATACACTAGAAATTTGTGGATAGGTTCAACAGATCCGAAACCGACTAGGGGGAATAATATACTTGATTTGTTGTTTACAATCAACATAGACTCTACTTCAGTGCATATTAATCATGAGTTTTTTATGAATGATCATAGAGTTGTATTGAAGCATTGTTGAGGACCCTGATATTATTTGCGAGCAATTCAGCCAGCATTCCTCGCAATGCTACAAAACTGGAACTGAAAGCTTCATCAATACATTTCCAATGCTGACATCAAGACACCTGTCAAAAATGGATTTTATACCCTTCAACATCAAGTAGGCCATAGCTGCCCTGAAAAATTCTTACGATGGTGGACCTGACGGGATTCCTTCATCATTTGTGAAATATGGTATCACAGAATTCCCACTGTTTTGCTTGGAACTTTTCAACCTATCCATGGAATATGGGACCTAACCATCTGCATGTAAAACATCTCTTATCACCCTTAGATTCAAAACAGGATCACGTAGTGATATTGTTAACTATAGGGCAATTAATTAAACATCCGTGCTCTCAAGAACCATGGAAAAAATCATCCACAAACAGCTATTATCAATTTTA